GACTGGCAGCTGGTGTTTATATTTTCCTGTCAAGGCTGGGGGGTTAGCAGCTTTATAGATAAGGGCAGTCCTGATCATAAATCCCACTACATTTGCACAAAATAGTAGAGTTAGCCTATCCCTTTCTGCTTTAAATCCTGGTGCTTGTTTTTCTTCCTTCTAATAAATGTCCTTTGTGGAATTTTTCTTCCAGAACAGGGCACTTCCATCTGCATTAAAAACCTGTTCAGGCAGATTTCCTCTCTCCTCAGTGATTTTCTTAATGGCATCTGGGAACTTGTCTGCTGCCTCTTGGTCAGCAGAAGCTGCTTCTCCTCTTATCTTGATATTTTTTAAGCCACGCCTCTTTCTAAAATTAGACACCATCCTTTGCTGGTATTAAATTCTCCAGCTTTAGATCCTTCACTTTCCTTTTGCTTTAAGTTATCATATAATGACTTCACTTTTTCTCGAATCACATTAGAGTCTACAGGTATTGCCTTTCTGATAGCAATCCTGAACACACATAAAAGCTGCACTTTCAATACTAGATTAAAAGTTGTTTTGCAAAAAGTGCCAAGTTTTCGAGCCTGCTGGAGTAGCTGCAACAATGACGTCACGAATTTCCTTTTCTTTTTCTACAATGGTCCTTATGCTGGATTTATTATCTTGAAATGGTGGGCAACTGCAGCTGCAGACCTCAATCTATGGTACCTATCAAGCCATTTAACACTTTCTTGTAATGTCATGACTTTTCTCTGCTTCTTGGGAGCACTTCCAGCATCACTAGTGACACTTTGTATGGGTCCCGTGGCGTTATTCAAGGTCTATGGTATTGCACTAAACACGATGGAAAATACACAAGAACCTTGAGATCACTTTTTGCTGTGACATGCAATTTCCTGGAGAGATAAACTGCTCACATCATGATTAGCACCCCACAGCATGGTGGACACTCGCTCATCACAATAGCAGCAGAAGGTGGCTATGAGATTATATACGTTAGTACAGTATGTACCATAGTTAATTTTATGCCATTATGATTTAATACTGTATCTTTACACTTGTTTAAATTTCCCTCTACTGGGTATGGCACCATGTATGGTTTGTGTTTGTGAGCATAAGTTTTGATAAATGTTATCTTTTTTATAACATATTTGTGTATATTTTATGATAGTGAATGATAAAATAGATTGGTACCTACATATACTTTATGCATTCACGATATATCTATCTTTTTCTTAATTTTTTTGATATTTCTAGGCTATGCGGTTTGTCTGCGAGTTTTTCAAATTGTTGCAGATCTCCAAAAATTTTTCCAATACACTTATTGAAAGAAAACTGCAAGTGGACCTGTGCAATTCAAACCCATGTTGTTCAAGGTTCAACTGTACTAACAAGAAAACTCAGGTACAAAGATATGCACATAGCCTAAAACCAACACATGTGATAAAAATCAAATTTTTAATAGAGAGACCCCCCACCACCACCAGCAACACTACGGTGAGGCTGCCTGGATCATTTTTAAATTTTGATGAGTAGGTCTCTACAGAAATGAATACCCATGGGGCCTGAGGGTTTGAGGTTGATAACTATGAAACTTGATACTAACAGCATGGACTTAACACCACTTGTATTTTCACCAGGATTGTTAATGTTTAAAAGTGATCAGGGGACTTCCTGGGTGGTCCAGTTGCTAAGATGCTGCGCTCTCAACGCAGGGGGCCCAGGTTTGATCCCTGGTCAGGGAACTAGATCCCACATGCCACAACTAAGAGTTTGCATGCTGCATCTAAAGATCCCGCAAGCCGCTACTAAAGATCCCGCATGCAGCAACGAAGATCCCTCATGCCGCAACTAAGACCCAGCGCAGCCAAATAAATAAAATTAATTAAATAATTAATTTTAAAAAATAAACAAAATAAAAGTGATCAGGTTACAAAGCTTTATTGGTGTGCTTCTAATACTAATTTTCTTTTAAGCCCTATTATTTTTAGCTTGTGATTTTGCAGAATGCAAGGTTTTTTAGAAATGCACATATAACGTTATATCTGAAATACCTGTATTATAGTAGGTAACTGCCAATTTTAAAACAAACTAACAAAACCCCCTAACTCCGTCTCCACTCCCACTTTTTCCCCATTCAGTCATCCTGTACATATACATGGGGTCAAGAGGAAATATGGTCAATGGGAAGAGTGTGGTCTTCAGAATCAGACAGAACTGAATCTAATCCTTACTCTGATACTGACGTGCTATGTTAACTCAGATGACATTATCTCCCTGAGCCTCAGTTTCCTCATCCATAAAATAGAGACAGTAGACAAGCTTTTCTGGAAACTGGCCACAGGAGAGGTAATCTCGGTGAGCAAACTCAATAGCCAATAGCCAAGTGTCCATGAAGAGGCCTTTCCTGGGACCTGCACTTTCCAGTAGGGACCAGGCATCACCTCTGCAGATGCCCAGGGTCCTAAACCAGAACCTCCAGGAATAGGGTCAAGGCCAGAGAAGGTTTCAGAGTCCCCACAGATGACATGATTGGGTGTACACACTGCTACAGTGGGGGAGGGCTCCTTGAAGACAACCAACTTCCCTTGTTATGATTCCATGCCCAGTAAGCAACTGAGGACATGGTGCCCATAGGGTGAGAATGCCTGGGTCAGGTGGACAGAAGTCCATTCTACTTGACAACTGTAAATAGCAAATTGACACTCTGTGTTTATCCCAAATGCTAAAATTCACTGTACCTCAGCTTCCTCATTTGTAACATGGGCACAATAATAGGATTTATCTCATAGAGTTGTGGTGAGGATTATGAGATGTTCTATGGAAAGTGCTTGAAACAAGTGGCTGGCTCAGAGCACCTGCTATCTAAGTGCTTGCTATTAGTATTGTACATCAGGCTCTGTGAGTCTGGTTAATGTGACTCTGCCTTTGAAAGCCAATGCCCTGTCAGAGTGCACAAAAGCAACTTAAGAACAAGACCCTGAACTGCGGCTAATTTACCAAGGTACATATTGCCTGGCAGGGAACTCTCTGGGCAGCTAGAGTCCTTCTTTGGGTAATGATATGCATGCCTGACCTTGCCATATGCCTTAATATTTGAAAGTACAAGTGAGGATTGCATGAAAAACTGTCTCAAGTGCTTAACAAGTGTCTAGCAAACAATCTTCCCTCAGACAATGGCAGCCTTGGACTCTCTTCTCAAACACCGTTAAGACTTTGAACTGTCAGCTGGAAACCCTGTATTGGGAAGGAGGCTGTACTATTGGGCTAATATTGACTGTAAGAGAACCTACAATAATCTGATTCTCATTGAGCTTCTAGATTGAAATAAATTCAGCAGGAGAGTGTAGTGTCACCAACTGATAATGTGATTTGGACCCAAGTAAGAGAGACCTGAAATGGAGGACAGAAGGGTCAGCGCCACCCCCATTCCACTTGTGAAACTCCTCGTTTTCCTTCAAGATGCAGCCCACACATCACCTCCTCTTTGAAGCTTTCCTGAACCCCTCCGGCTGAGTTAATCCAGCCTCCTGCCACTGCGTTCTTGTGGCATCTTCTCCATTTCACATGATCATGTTCCCGTCTGTCACCTCCATTGGAATGTAGCTCCTTCCGAGTAGTGACGTCATAGTGACCTTTATATCCCCAGCAGCCAGCACTGTGCTTGGCACATAGTAGGTGCTCACAAAATATTTGTAGCTGAATGAATGCAGTTGGTCCCGATTTCCCTCATTTTCTTGCCTAAGCCTGGAGCTAAGGTGGGTGAACCTTCAGAGCCCTTCCAGAGGCAGAGAGGTGAGCCAGGCTGGGATGGGGGGAGGTGGGTGCCTCCCTTCCACAGCTACCTCAAGAATATGTGTGTAGAACCTTGCACCAGGAGGGCTGGAAGGCACCCAAAGTATCTAGAGGACGAGGAGATGGCCTTGGGCAGGATACGAAACTATTCACTCAACAAACAGGTATCAAGTTTTGTGTCAACGTGCCACGCCATGAGTAAGATTCAGTTCCTATTCTCATGAATCTCACAGGCTTAGGCAGACACAGACTGTGGTTATGACAGTACCGTGGGACAGGTGCTGGGATGGGGGGAGCACAGGGCACCACGGGAAGAACATGGAGGAGAGGACCTTGAACATATGGCAGGAGAGGGTGGCAGAGCTGAGCGCTGACTGTGGGGCAAGCTGCTTGGGGAGGAGTCACCAGGTCTCTGACAGCTGGAGCGGGATGGAGGTGGCGCTGCTTCCTCCCCTCTCTCAGGAGGGGCGCTATTTGGGGTGTAACTGGCAGGGGCCTCCCCAGCATCTTCCTTGAAGCATATGCCTGACTCCCAGGCACTCGGAATGTTCTTCCACAAACAGACAGGCTCTGTCTCGCCCCCGGCAACCACTAGCGACACTGCCTGACCCTATAGTGGCCACAGTCGATGGGACCCACAGAATCTGACCCTCTATTCCTCTCGCTCGACTCTGTCACCTCACCTCACCTCTCCTAGGAAGCCCAAGAGGCCCACGGTTGGTCGACATAAGCCCACGAGACATAAGCTCTACCTTGGTATGAATAAAACCCACCTTAATGGACTTGAGGACACAGGGAGGGGGGAGGGTAAGCTGGGACAAAGTGAGAGAGTGGCATGGACATATATACACTACCAAACGTAAAATAGATAGCTAGTGGGAAGCAGCCGCATAGCACAGGGAGATCAGCTCGGTGCTTTGTGACCACCTGGGGGGGGGGAGTGGGAGGGTGGGAGGGAGGGAGATGCAAGAGGGAAGAGATATGGGGACATATGTATATATATAACTGATTCACTTTGGTATAAAGCAGAAACTAACACACCATTGTAAAGCAATTATACTCCAATAAAGATGTTAAAAAAAATAAAAAATAAAACCCACCTTAAAAAAGAAATAAGAATCTCCACTGACAGTTTTATTACTACTGATGGCATTTTTTACTGAAGCAAAGAATTTAACAAAATATATAAAAAATATATTTTAAAAAATCACAGATGGACAACAGATTTACAGAATTGTTTTTATAATCATCCAGGAAAAAATGACAGTGTTTACTTACTAGTAAATTGCATTTGGGTAAGACCAGCCACTGGGTCACAAGACCCAAGCAGCCAGGACACTGCCTGAGCTCTTAGGAGCAGAAGAAATAATCGACCAACAGGGGAGAGGCTGTGGAAGGGGCAGCAGGACAGCCCAGCCAGCAAAGCAGAGGCGGCAGCCCAGCCAAGTCAGGAACGGGCAATGTCAGGGCAGGGGTTTGGTATCAGGAAACAGAGGTGGACACGTCAGTTACTCTGGTCTTGAGAGGAATCACTATGATCTGAGAAGCCAGGACCAGCTGCAAACTAGCTCCTCTGTGTGTGCTCACATGGGTGTGTGTTCATTTAAATTATCTCCCACTTAAATCATGAAACTAGCAAGTGGGTTTGGGTGGGAGTCATTTGTGTCCACAATCCCATCAGGGAGACCAGAGAGCGGAAGGCCCAACCTACCAAAGCAGTTTCCCCAATTAAACTGGATTGAGCACCCGCTAGGAGTGCTAGGAGGGCTGCCGGCTGCAAGGACTCCGGGGAAAGCAGAGGGAGTGAGGCCCATGTCCTGCCCCCTGGAGCTCACACTGTAACACAGGGGGAGAGACATGCTCAGACAACTGTGTCATGTGGCCCATGATGGGCGTGGGACAAAGTAACAAGATTGTCTCCATCTGTGTGGGAGATTAGGATGGGGTTATAGAATTTGCTGGAATCTGAGATGGGCCTGGAGGGACAGGTAGGATTTGATAGGCAGAGATGGGAGCTGCATAGGCATTCCCAGCCAAACAGAGAAAGCAAAGCCCCATGAAGGAGTGTGCAGTGGGAGCTGGGGTGGCCCTCGCAGGGAGCATCTGGAATGTTCAGGAAAGTTGCGGGAGATGCGGCTGGAAAGGGAGCTTGAGGCCAACGTGGGTCCAAAGCGCCAAAGTTGCACAAATGAAGGGACTCCTTTACATACTCGTTTATTCTTTCATTCATTCAACAAAAATGTATTGTGCACAAAACCTCTGCCAGGAGTCGTTCCCCTGGGTGCTAGGCGCTCAGGTGGAGAGGGCAACTCTGGCCCCCCGGAGGCTGGCGTCACCCCCACGGAGCGGGACAGGAGCGCCATGGGGAGGTGGAGGCCGCTGCCTAGTCCAGGGTGAGGGTGGGGCCCTGAGCCGGGCGCAGCAATGGGAGGGCAGCTTCGAAGGTGAGCACCCTTGACAAGCTGTCACAAGTGAGATCTCCTTGGCCAGGCCAAGCCAAGTCCTCCAGCAGCCGACATGGGGGAAGAAGCATCCCATCAATGACTGGGACCAAGGGTCAGAAAAGTGGGGCTTGGAAAGGACAGGGGAGGCATGGAGGCAGGGGGATGACCCCCTAATGCTCCCCCTGACCCCCTCCTGCAGCAGGCCCTGGTCATCGGCCAGCCTGGTCAAGGGACTCTCGGCTGGGGCCCCTCTGGTCTTCATTCCTGTAGTCAGCCTCGCCCTCCTCTTCCTGTCTTCTGGAAAGCTCTGTCAGCTGCTCTGGTGGCTCCTGGTAGCCCGCCCGATTCCTGCAGGCCGTGAGGACAGAGGGGAAGGGTTTGCCCTCACTCACTCAGACCTGAGGGAGCTGGGCTCAGTGCTCCCCACGGGACAGCCATCAGATCCCCATCCCCACCCGTCCAGCGGCAAAGGGACGCTGGGCTGAAGGGCTGGGCTCAGAGTGGAAGCAGGGTGGCACGGACTTGAGCTGAGGGCATTATGGGAACAGGCTGGCTCTGCGAGGGGAGCAGGGAGCGGCCTCTTACAGAGCCTCTGCACCCCCCTACCCCTGCCCTGGGCACCCACCGGAAGCCCCACCCTGAGATCAGAGACTGGAGAACTACAGGCCTTGGAGTCAAGTTCCGGACTGCAGTGCCACTTTAGGATTTGGGTGAATCATTTACTCTTTTCTCAGCTATAAAACGGGGCTGATAAAAGTTATTTTTTACTGTTACCAGCTGCCCCCTGGGGTGTTATGAGTGGAAGAGGCTGTGAAGAGCTGGGGTGCATCTTCCCAATGTGCTGAGACCCTTGCCAACGGGCTGCCCACCCCCGACACTCACGGCCGCGTGACGTCCGCATCCTCAGCCTTGCCAGTCTCCCGGCAGCAGCAGCAGTAGACGATGATGCCGATGACGATGAGTGCCGCGGCCACGCCCCCCGCGATGCCCGCATACAGGGCCACATTCATGGAGGCTGCGAGAAACAGAGCCGCACGTCCTGAACCCCAACCCCAGTCCCCAACGCGAGCCCCCAACACGAGCTGAGGCTCCGGGTGGTGAGCACGCCGGGGGTGAGGAACCACAGCAGCAGGCGTCTGGGAGGCGGGAGGTGGTCCCTCCCAGGCTCTGAGCGGCCCCAGTCATCCTCCCAGCCCAGGTGGCCGCGCTGCCTGCTTCTGGTAGCGTTCCATGAAAGTCACAGCCTCGTGGGAATGTGACCAGACAAGGGGGACACTCTTCAGGATGGAAGCGTTGACAAGGACAGATGGCCAACAGATTTGGAGCCAACGGGCTCCAAAAAAGTCCTCGGGTGTCAGTCATGCCAGCTCCTACTCTAGTTCATCCCCAAGATCATCAGGGTATCCCACCCCAAAAGGATGGGGTCCTGACTCTGTGGCAGCCCAGTCTGGGCACTTCCCCCTTGCCCCCTGAGCGACCCTAAGGGCAGGCAGGACCGAGCAGGTCTCCAGAAGCCAGCCTAGGGCACTATTTCCAAAGAACCCAGGGAACTGGAGACTGGCCTCCAGATGAGGGGAGCCTGGGACAGGATCATCTGGCCGTCACCTCAGCCACCCTGCCAATGGGAGACCCCCAAAGAGGCTGCCCAGTTCACCTCCATGTTGGTCCCTGTCAGCTGACTCTGGACCACCAGCCTGTCACCTCTGGCATTCGTCCTCCCTTCCCCCCCAGACTGCTCTTACGAGGTCTGACAGCCACAGTGATGTTGCAGGACTCCATCCCTACATCATTGCTGGAGGTGCAGATGTAGTAGCCCGACATTTCTGTGGAGATGTTCTTCAGAGAGAAGATCTGTCCTGTGACTGAGAAGGAAGAAGAGTCAGGCTGAGGAGACGGGCCACCGGAGTAGAGCGAGACGGCTAGGGAAATCCTAGGCAGATACAAGCACCGCCACTGAACGTGTCCAAGCCTCATCTGTAATATGGAGAAAATACCTACCTCTAGGGCTGCAGGAAGATTAAACCAGGCAGGCTGCACAATTCTAAAGTGCTTAGAATTCAGGCAGGCATCCTGGGTTTGAAGCCTGGTTCTGCCACTTATTGACTTTGGGCAAGGAACTTAGCTTCATTGAACCTGTTTCTTTATTTATAAATAAAATAATAATAGTGCCTGCATCACACAGTAATTGTGAACATAAAATGAAGTACTAACAAATACAAACCCACAGCCAAATGGCTGATGTATAGTAAGTCTTCAGGAAACATAATATACATTATACATTGCGTGGAAATGCTTTCTAATTAGACCACATAATTATAACCACTTTTATAATCTTCAGAAACAGAATTCCTTAGCTTGGACTCATGTGAAAGAAGGCTTTAGAATTTCAAGAACTCTGACCTCTGGATTTCTGTGTGTGAGTGTATGTGGTATTTGTATGGGTGTGTGTGTGTGTGTGTGTGTGTGGTGAGGCAGGGAGGAGGCAGGCTGTCGGTCTAGACTCTTCCTCTTCCTCTTCCACCATTTAAGTAAGCCATTTAAATTCTGTGAGCCATAGCTGCCTCATCTGGAAGTGGGAGGGAAAGCACCTGATTCTCCTGAATTCAGGGCAATGGTCCAGATGTCTTCTTGAGAAACCTTCCTGCTAAATCTATGATCCTATGGATTTCTTCACCTTGAAATGGAGAGCTTTATGCTTAGACAAATTTTTATGTCCTGTCCTCAAAGATGCTCTGTCATAACTGCTGTTTGGAGAGAAGAGTTAGAGACCTTTGTCCTCTAATTTGCTGCAGAGCCTGCCTACCCCACTATCAACAGGTGGTTATACTTCATCCAGAGGAGCTGTTCTAAACTGAAAATAGGATCCAGCCACTGCCCTTTTCAGACATTTCAGAGGCAGCCCATCGTCTTCAATAACAAGTCCAGGCTTCTTAATATGGACGTGACATTACAGATCTGGCCCTGGAAATCACTCCAGCTTAACCTCTTGCCAGTTCGCCTGGTGTCCAATCCTTGCCCTGCCCAATTCCACTCTGTTGCAAGATTGTATCTCGGTGTGGATTTTTCTTGTCTGGATGTGCTTCCTCAAATACAATGTCCTCTGATTCTTCCAACAATCTTGTATGGTAGATGGAACAAATATTTCTATCTCCAATATCATAGTGGTAACTGGAGAGGCTTAGAAAAGTCAAGTGACTTGCCCAAGGTCACAAAATTAAGAAATGACAAAACAGTAACAAAAATTCCATTTGAGGTCTAGAACTCCCTGGAGAAGTTGACAACTTACTTTAAAAACATTATAGGAAAGAGAACAGAGAGGGTGATAAGGAGAAGAACATTCCAGGACCTTCCAGATCATAGATGAAGAAGAAACACAGTTCATGAGTAAGTGCCCTGTTGTGGTCACCAAAAGCACACCACAGAAGAGGATGTGGATCCAGGTGCCCTGCAGCACCACCTGCAGGAACAGGCTGTGTGATTTTAAAGGCTAGCATCGTACAGAAACACATCATTTATTTTCAAGATGAGGGCTCCCTAACCAAGAAACTTTGTGAACAAAATTCCATATTTGATGGGGCGACCAACAAACCTATCTTACACTGCTGAGCCTGTGGAACTGCCAAGTACAGACTCACATTTTATGGGAATTGGTCTGAGAAGACACACCCAAAGGTGTGCTTATCCACATATCCACATCTATAGTATGAACAAAATTGGGCTTCTGGTTGGAGACAAGATGGCAGAGTAGACAGACTTGAGCTCAACTTCTCTCACAAAAACACCAAAATCACAACTAACTGCTGAATAACCATCAACAAAAAAGACTGGAACTTACCAAAAAAGATATTCTACAACCAGAGACAAAGAAGAAGCCACAACAAGATGAGGTTCTCCCACAGGAGTGAGTTCTGAGCCCCACATCATGCTTCCCAGCCTGGGGGTCTGGCATCAGGAGGAGGAGGCCCCAGAGCACTTGGCTTTGAAGGCCAGTGGGGTTTGATTGCAGGAACTCCATAGGACTGGGGGAGATAGAAATGCCACTCTTGGAGGGTGTGCACAGGTCTCGTGTGAACTGGGACCCAGGGAAAAAGCAATGATTTCATAGAAGCCTGGACCAGACATACCTGCTGGTCTTGATGGTGGGGGGGGGCGTCTCCTGGGAAGGTGGGGGTGGAACTGGCTCACTGTGGGGACAAGCACTGGTGGCAGAGGTACTGGGGAGTACTCATTGGTATGAGCTCTCCTGGAGGTCGCCATTTTGCCACCAAGACCCAGCCCCACCCAACAGCATGTAGGCTCCAGTGCTGAGATGCCTCAGGCCAAACAACCAACAGGGCAGGCACACAGCTCCACCCATCAGCGCACAGGCTTCCTAAAATCTTCCTGAGCCCACAGCAACCTCTAAACACACCCCTTGACACAGCCTTGCTCACCAGAGGGACAAGACACAGTTCCACTCACCAGTGGGCAGGAACCAGTCCCTCCCACCAGGAAGCCTGCACAAACCTCTAGAACATCCTCACCCACCAGGGGGCAGACACTGGAAGCAAAAGGAACTACATCCACGCAGCCTAGGGAATGGAAATGGCAAAGGAATATGTTTCAGATGAAGGAACAAGATAAAACCCCAGAAGAACAACTAAGTAAAGTAGAAATAGGAGGTCTACCTGAAAAAGAACTTAGAATAATGAGAGTGAAGACAATCCAAGATCTCAGAAAAAGAATGGAGGCATAGACCAAGAAGATACAAGAAATGATTAACAAAGAGCTAGAAGATATACAGAACAAACAAACAGACATGAACAATGCAATAACTGAAATGAAAAACACACTAGAAGGGATTAATAACAGAATAATTGAGGCAGAGAATAGATAAATGAGCTGGAAGACAGAATGGTGGAAATTTCTGCCATGGAACAGAATAAAGAAAAAAGAATGAAAAGAAATGAGGACAGTTTAAGAGACCTCTGGGACAACATTAGAAACACCAACATTTGCATTAGAGGGGTCCCAGAAGGAGAAGAGAGAGAGAAAGGGCCATAAAAACTATTTGAAGAGATAATAGCTGAAAACTACCCTAAAATGGGAAAGGAAACAGTTAACCAAGTCCAGGAAGTGCAGAGAGTCCCATACAGGATAAACCCAAGAAGGAACATGTCAAGACGCATATTAATCAAACTGACAAAAATTAAAGACAAAGAGAAAATATTAAAAGCAACAAGGGAAGAGCAACAGGTAACATACAAGGGAATCTCCATAAGGTTTTCAGCTGATTTTTTAGCCAAAACTCCGCAGGCCAGAAGGGAGTGGCATAATATATTTAAAGTGATAAAAAGGGAACACCTATAAACTAGAATACTCTACCCAACAAGGCTCTTGTTCAGATTTGACAGAGAAATCAAAAGCCTTGCAGACAAGCAAAAGCTAAGAGAATTCAGCACCACCAAACCAGGTTTACAACAAAGCTAAAGGAACTTCTCTGGGCAGAAAAGAAAAGACCATAACTAGAAACAAGAAAATTACAAATGGAAAAACTCACCAGTAAAGGTAAACATAGATTAAAGGCAGGAAATCATCCATACACAAATATGATATCAAAATCACTAATCATGAGAAGAGAAGAGTACAAATGCAGGATATTGGAAATACATTTGAAATCAAAAGACCAGCAACTTAAAACAATCTTGTATATGTATAGTCTGCTATATCAAAACCTCATGATAGGGACTTCCCTGGTGGTCCCGTGGTTGGGACTTTGCCTTCCAATGCAGGGGGTGTGGGTTTGGTCCCTAGTGGGAGAACTGGGATCGCACATGCCTCACGGCCAAAGGGCCAAGGCATAGAATAGACACAGTGTTGAGACATATTCAATGAAGGCTTTAGAAATGGTCCACATCAAAAAAAAAAATCTTTAAAAACAAAAATAACCTCCTGATAACCACAATCTATTGAAAATCTACAATAGATATACACACAAAAAAGAAAAAGGAATCCAAACAGAACACTAAAGTGAGTTATCAAATCACAAGAGAAGTGAACAAAAGACTAAGGAGGAAGAAAAGACCTACAAAAACAAATCCAAAACAATTAACAAAATGGCAATGAGAACATACATATCAATAAATACCTTCAACATATATGGATTAAATGCTCCAAGCAAAAGACATAGACTGGCTGAATGGATACAAAAACAAGACCCGTATATGTGCTGTCTACGAAAGACACACTTCAGATCTAGAGACACATACAGACTGAAAGTGAGGGGATGGAAAAAGATATTCCATGCAAATGGAAATCAAAAGAGAGCTGGAGTAGCAATACTCATATCAGACAACATAGACTTTAAAATAAAGACTGTTACAAGGGACAAAGGACACTACATAATGATCAAGGGATCAATCCAAGAAGGAGCTATAACAATTGTAAATATATATCCACCCAACATAGGAGCACCTCAATACATAAGGCAAATGTTAACAGCCATAAAAGGAGAAATCAACAGTAACACAATAATAGTAGGGGACTTTAACATCATACTTACATCAATGGACAGATCATCCAGACAGAAAATCAATAACGAAACACAGGCCTCAAATGTCACATTAGACCAGATATGCTTAATTGATATTTATAGAGCATTCCATCCAAAAGCAACAGAATACACCTTCTTCTCAAGTGCACATGGAACATTCTCCAGGATAGATCACATGCTGGGCCACAAAGACAGCCTCGGTAAATTTAAGAAAATTGAAATCATATCAAGCATCTTTTCTGACCACAACACTACGAGATTAGAAATCAACTACAAGAAAAAAACTGTAAAGAACAAAAACACATGGAGGCTAAACAACATGCTACTAAA